ACAATACAGTTGTATTTAAATAAATTGGAGCTTTAACTGGAGCTTTAGTGAAGTGTGGATTTTTTTTTCTTCCAAAAAACATCTTGCACTTCCTTTTCATAGCTGTGATCTTTGTTTTTTATCTCTCTTCTGTCTTCCAGTTGGTAAAGCAGCTCAAGGAGGAGAAAACTGAGGTAAATCTTTGTCAAATGAAACACCTGCTATTATCTCTCTTTTCTACATGTTTTATGTAACAGGTTCCTACATGTGCATCATGGGTACATTTCTTACATTTCTTACTGAAGCATGATTGGGAATCCTTACATTCATCACCTTAGATGTTCTTTGGTTTGTTTGCTAAAGATTAATTTTCTTTCCAACATCCATTAATTTCTTTTCTTTAGTTATAGCAACTTAGCCATCTACTTAGATTTTTAAATCATTGTTTATCCCCTGGCCCCAGATAAGCAGAAGAAGGATAGATGGACATTAAGAATTCTGGTCGGGTTTGTTTCTTAGCTCCGTACTTATTGTTGTTACTTCCTCATACTCTGGGGGGATCTAACTATTTGTTATTTTAAAAACTGACTTGGAGTTCACGCAGACTTGGTTCTTTTTGCTTTCAGAATGAACATCTGAGCAGCCTGTGTTACTTTATTTCTTTTATTTTCTCATCATTCTAACAGCATGAATCTGATGAAGTACTATGATAAACCTTTAATCTTATAATCACTGAACTTTATATGTTGCTCTATAGAAACCAAACTAATATTACAGGGCAGCTGAGGGTGTTGGGACAAACACTTTAAATCTGTCTTCCAAGTTTAGAGACTGTAGTTTTTACAGCTGTGATGAATTCTGTTGGAACAGAAGAAGAACACTAACTGATGTCTGCCAACAGGAATCCTTTGGATCTCGGTTGATGTCCAGATTTTGGAAAGGATCCAATCAAAACTAATCCAGAAGTTGCTCAACATGTAACACTTTGCTTGAGGTCAAAGTGCTTCATCATGGAGAAACTTGATGTCTGTTATGTCAGTGATTCATGTTTAAATGGTCAGTGGTTCAACTTGAAAAACTTTATTCAGTCAAAACTCGGTTAAGTGAAGTAAGCAAAAGCTTATCATCCACCTAAAATTCCCAAATACTAAAGTTTTTCAGTCCTTGTTCAGTTGTACAGAAAAACTAATAAACCTTATAAACTAAAAATATGTTGAAAAGGCACT